CTGACTTACCGCAATTAAAGTCCTCTACTCGAAGTTCCGTAAGCTCTTTAACTCCAGAGTGCAAAGACTTACAAGACAACGTGACCTGAGTACGATTTTGCCGAGTATTATTAAATATCGAAATTTCTTGGGTGTAATACCACCATAGCGAATGAACTGAACAATCGCAACGTAGAGGATTGCTATCAAGTTGTAAGCTTTGTAGGTTTGATAAGTATGAAAAATCATCCGGAATATTTGATAGTTTGTTATGGTATAAAGATCTAAAAATGAAAAGGAAAAACACAATAGAGAATATATAGTTAGCGATCTTTTATATGAAATCATAAGAACTATTTATACTATTTTAAAGGCCTATATATTCTCTTCTTAGATCATATTCGATCTTTGAAATCGAATCCAAAATAGTAATTCAAAAACTGATAAATCTACAAAATCTTATTTTCTGACCTAAATCGACAGGTCGCGACATCTAAATGACTTCTAAAAAGTCTATAAAGATAGCCAATAATATTTCTCATAAAAACGAATAAAATTAGGGGGTAGGGTCTTTAAATTTCCAAAAAAAAAACAATTTCGATGGGCACCTTAATGGGGGTCCATGAGTTGTAAGTGGGGGTTTACGAAAATTTTTCTGGTTTCGGTACGAAAGGACCAAAATGGTTGCTTGATAACCTCTTTATTTAACTTTAATTTTTTTGAGTGGTCAAGTGCACTGACGCACTGCTGCACTTACCGTCACTTTGTGTTTTCATACGTGGGAAAGCCTTAAAGGCCACCTGCAGACTAAAAAGAACCGGATGTTGGTATAACACTGAGGGGGGCGCGGCGAAAATTGCTGGCGGCAGAGATTTAAGCACTTGTGTCTTTTCAATGCTATAGGATAGTACGCCACCAGTACTTTTGTTGAAGAGATTCTATAATGTTGAGTTCCCTGAGACTGAATGCTGGTTTAATTCCATCACTGAGACCGGACTCATACATTGTCGAACCTTCACTGATGGCTCCAAAACTGACTTTGGGCCATGATCTGGTGTATTTTTCGAAGTTAATGAGTATAAGCTTCATTTTTCTGTTGGGGAATATGTTTCGGACTTCCAGGCTGTGGTGATTGCAATCCTCAAAGCTATGGACTACACGGTGGAACACTGGTGGAGGGGAAGGAGTTTACGTGTCTGCAGTGACAACCAAGTTGCACTTAACGCATTGGCTAGCCCTCTAACTACTTCCAAACTAGTTCGGCAATGCAAGTCTCGACTAAATTATTGTGGTAAACATAAAGAGCTTGCTTTACTCTGGGTGGCAGGTCATTCGGGAGTACCTGGTAATGAGACATCTGACCATTTGGCCAGAATTGGCTCAGACCAGGTATTCCTCGGTCCGCAACCAGTTTAAGCACACCCACTTTCGGCCATGGAAGCAACCATCAGAAACTGGGTGAATACTGCGCTCAGCAATGACTGGGAGACATCAAGGGAATGCAGGTGGGCAAAACTCATGTTGCCTTCAATCTCAGAAGGTCTTTCTAGGTTTCAGATCTCACTGAGCAGGGATACTGCAGACAACTTGTTGGACTGCTTCACGTGGCACAAACACTTGACTGTGGCGTAAATGACAAGTCCATTTGCTCATCCTTCCTTGAAGAGGATGAGACACTGGAACACTTTTTGTGCTTCTTGCTTGCTTGGTTGTTTGTCATCGATTTTTCTAGACTCGTTCTTTTCTATAGTGTCAGTTTCTGAATTAAAAGTTTGGCGTAAAAAGCTTCGCCGTGTTGTTGTTTTAAGTTTTAAATGTGAGTGGTAAATATTTTTCGCCTCACTTTAAAACTCGGTGCGATAAAAACAAAAATGATGCCACCAGCACAAATAAACTATTGTACAAGCACACCNGACTAAATTATTGTGGTAAACATAAAGAGCTTGCTTTACTCTGGGTGGCAGGTCATTCGGGAGTACCTGGTAATGAGACATCTGACCATTTGGCCAGAATTGGCTCAGACCAGGTATTCCTCGGTCCGCAACCAGTTTAAGCACACCCACTTTCGGCCATGGAAGCAACCATCAGAAACTGGGTGAATACTGCGCTCAGCAATGACTGGGAGACATCAAGGGAATGCAGGTGGGCAAAACTCATGTTGCCTTCAATCTCAGAAGGTCTTTCTAGGTTTCAGATCTCACTGAGCAGGGATACTGCAGACAACTTGTTGGACTGCTTCACATGGCACAAACACTTGACTGTGGCGTAAATGACAAGTCCATTTGCTCATCCTTCCTTGAAGAGGATGAGACACTGGAACACTTTTTGTGCTTCTTGCTTGCTTGGTTGTTTGTCATCGATTTTTCTAGACTCGTTCTTTTCTATAGTGTCAGTTTCTGAATTAAAAGTTTGGCGTAAAAAGCTTCGCCGTGTTGTTGTTTTAAGTTTTAAATGTGAGTGGTAAATATTTTTCGCCTCACTTTAAAACTCGGTGCGATAAAAACAAAAATGATGCCACCAGCACAAATAAACTATTGTACAAGCACACCATGTACAAAGTCACGAGTGAGCCTAACATTTGATGAGTTCATGGTGAAGATAACATAAATGACGCTTGGGCTCAAACTGCTCTTAAAAAATATAACTCCTAAGAGCGAGAGAGTATTTTGATGGATTTACGAGCTCTATATTTTAAAACTGGCAAGTGTGTAATCAGATTGTTTTAATAAATAGAAATAAAACATAATAGAAAGAAAATATTTTAGTTCTATTTTGGCCTCACCGAGTTTAGTTTTTGTATACACCAGCGATGCANTTTTTAAGTTTTGTGTTTTAAAAATGTGAGTGGTAAATATTTTTCGCCTCACTTTAAAACTCGGTGCGATAAAAACAAAAATGATGCCACCAGCACAAATAAACTATTGTACAAGCACACCATGTACAAAGTCACGAGTGAGCATAACATTTGATGAGTTCATGGTGAAGATAACCTAAATGACGCTTGGGCTCAAACTGCTCTTAAAAAATATAACTCCTAAGAGCGAGAGAGTATTTTGATGGATTCACGAGCTCTATATTTTAAAACTGGCAAGTGTGTAATCAGATTGTTTTAATAAATAGAAATAAAACATAATAGAAAGAAAATATTTTAGTTCTATTTTGGCCTCACCGAGTTTAGTTTTTGTATACACCAGCGATGCAGATTTACATAGTTAAATCTAATCTTCACATTTAATTTTTTACGAGGTTTGGGAATATTTAAAAATGTATCAGCCACCGAAACCAGTAAATTTTTGAAAGGGGGTCTACGGAAAAAAAGTTTGTGAACCTCTGTTTTAAAAGAAAAGGGATATAAATTTGGGGATGGGAGTTCATTGCCCCTCTGCAAGCATACCAGACCCCTTTAGGAATTTTAACAGTTTGGTGAGGGAAAATAATGTATCTTTTCCATTCTCAGTATATCCGACCCAAAACAGTTCCGTCTGAGTCTGACAAAGGCCGGATAGCGACAGGGAAAATGTTCCGTACTATCGCCATCCTCCGAACACGATGTACACAGTGAATAGACGATGATGCCTATTTTGACCATATGTCGTTCCAATGGATTGTGCCCGATAATTAGCCCTATTACGGTTCGTAGATCACTCCATCTTTGTCTGTTAAGGAATTTTGCCACCACCCCGTCAGACCTTTGCAGGAAACACTTAGTTATTTTGCAGGTGTCAATAGTGCACCAAGGGCTCTTATGAGTTTTGTTTATGAAATTCTTTTTGTACCCAATCGTTCCCGTTCCACCTCGGGGTCAGCCCCAAATAATATTCCTGGACTATCCTTGATAAGGTGCGAGCGGTTNTAACGGGGTTCAGCCCCAAATAATATTCCTGGACTATCCTTGATAAGGTGCGAGCGGTTTCCAAGGTCTTTAGAGCAGCCAAACGTTAAGCTTCTCACAGGAATTCTAACGGGACACTGGACCATTGGACACATGGCCGCCAGGTTAGGAGCACCGCATAACGATTGCTGTAGAAGCTGTAGAGATGAGGAGGAGGTAGAATCCACCCAGCACTTCCTTTGTGAATGTCCAGCACTCCGAAGGAAACGCCTCAAGTTTCTTGGGGACCATTTCTTCGAGAACCTGGATACCTTAGGGAAAGCTCCACTGGGAGGACTGCTTGCATTCGCCAGAGAATTGAAATGGTTCAAAGATATGTAGGGATAGGCATGGGGAAACCCCCCTGGGCATTGCAATGAGCCTTTGTGGCTTCCGGGTGAACTCTTCTCAGAGCCGCCCACTTAACCTAACCTAACCTATTAACAATAAATAAATAAAAATAAGTAGCCAACAGCATCATTTTGAATTTTTCTGCAATTATTTTGACCGCAACTGTATCTCTTACTTTGTTTTTATGGTTCCTCAATTATATGTTTACATATACATACATATTTTTGTATAAATTAAAAAGTGTTGCCATGAAATAAACCATATTTATCATAAGCTTATATCCAGGGAACGGATTTTTAGGACCTAAAAACCTATAAAAAAAGGCAAAATAAAATAGCAAAATAGACAGGAAAAGGCAGTAGAAATCGCAAAAAAGGCAAAAGAAGGCGCTAAAAAAAGACAAAAACCTAAAAATAATAAAAAAATACATTTATTTTAGAAATGTTTATTTTACAAGTAAAGAGAGAAAAACTATGAACTAGTTTCATTGCTTATATGAAAAATTTGTACTTTGAATCTTTAACTATTTTTTTGTATTTATTGTAGAACATTGAACTACAAAATACATTTTAAAGTTTTATGGCAGCAATTTCATTCAATTTTTGCGAAGACAAGCCTTGAATATACTAAACGTTCGAAAGACGTGAGTTGATATGACTGGCGCCCAATTTAAATATGGAACTTTTAAAACTTTCATATTATCAGGAATAAGGGCTACAATTAAAGGTAGAAAGGGGAAAAAAGGCAAATATCTTAAAAAAGGCAAAACATCAAATGTGTAAATATGTAATCAGGGAAAGCTAAATCGTGGACATTCTTAATCGATTATACTCTATCCCCTTAGCAGAAAAAAAGGAAATTTCCATAAAATCCGTTCCCTGCTTATTACTGATCTGAGCATTACTTCGTTGAAATGGATCACCTTTTTTAATATATGGTTCATAGTTGGGCTTTTAAAGAAAATCATTTATTTCTCATTTGTCCCGAAAAATTTTTGTAATCCCGTATTTTTGGGACAAATTATGCATTGCCGTATGGCTTGAAAAAAAATTTGACAACACTAGTTGCCAATCAGTTTTCCAATACTCTGCCTAAATATATGTTTCTTATTTTTTTTAATTTTTTTTCCCCGACGTTGGTTTGGTCAAAATGTCTGCAAGTATTTTATTTGTAGGTAGATATATCATGTTGGATATTCTACTACTATTTATGCATAGTCACCTGACATCCCAACTGCAATAGCTATGTACATACATATACATACACACATACATACATATCAACATGTAATACCTTTCGTACATCATACCACTGACCCATTATTTTCACTTCCATTAAGGCCTGCTCAAACAGGCGCGGTGCGGCACGGTGCGGCACGGTGCGGTATAATCCCGTACGATATGCGGTATCAAATACTATGGCGGTATATGGGAGCACTGAAACAGACGCGGTATTGGAAGTGCGGTACACCGCGGTACAGAACTCTACCGCAGCATGCAGCGTTCACCGCGCGGTATAAGAAGATATATCGTAAGCAGAGTTGCAATTTAGAGCTAGAGTTCTAAAACATATTTTATCTACAAAAGTGCTATAGATTATAAATTCTACCTTTTTCATGATAAAAAACGTGAGTTTAAAAGTGCTCGTAATACATACGTGATATTCTTTGGTTTTGCTTCTCACAAAGTAAATAAAATAAAATTGAACTTTTTCGTTTGTTTGAAAAATGTTTTTCAAATCTGGCAGTGTTGCTCAGAAATATGAACGATAAATTTACTGGAATTTAAAATTCTTTCGCAAAACGTACATAATGGAGCGCAAATATGGAAATATTTATAAAATCTTTCTTCGTGGTTACGCAGTTGGGACATCAGGCTGGAAAATTCACCACCTTTTCTTCTCAAATTTATTTAGTGAACCCATCTTCTTTTTCTTAAACATATACATAAATTAAGAACTTTGCAGGATAAAACAAAGATGTAGGCATATTCATACCTTTTGTTTTCTTCATCGAGAAGTACTGCTAATAGCAATAATTCGTCCTCAGAGCTTTAGCTATCCATCGCGAAAATCAGATTTATAATATATGTATAAATTTAGAAGGAGGAATGCGTTGAGTGCCGTTAATTTGAGCTCGTCACATGGCAACAATGTTTCTTGCTATACCGCACCGCGCCTGTTTGAGTGCCTTTGCGTATATCGTTACCGCGTATCGTACGGGATTATACCGCGCTGTACCGCACCGCGCCTTTTTGAGCAGGCCTTTAAACCGCTTGAATTATATGGACGAGTCGTGTTTTATTTATTCGCTAAATCTTAACATTTGGTTATGGACTCTCCATCACGCGATTTATTGTCCTACGAATAAAAAAGTAAAAAGTACTTTATTGAATTTTGTCGCTTCCTTATGTTTTTGGATAAATAAAACGTCGTTTGTCGTCCGGCAATGACTACTGATTTTTGTAATGAGTTCGCTGGCTCAAATTTAGAAACTCGGTGCCGATAATTACAGCACCTGGACCGTGCAGAGTCTGCTGATTACGCTGGAGTTTTGGGAAGTCGTAGAGACAAAATATGCAACCGATGCCGATCCAGCTAATAAAGCTAAATGAAAGTCGCTAGACAAAAAAGCGCTGGCATACATTCTCTCTTTGTGTGAAGTCGTCTGAACTGATTCACATAAAAAATTGTAAAACTGCCAAAGACGCATGGGCAGTTCTAAGCGGTTTGTATAGCGCTGATGGACCGGCACGAAAGGTAAATTTATTTTAGACGCTTAAAGCTCGTCGGCGATTTCAAGCATCCGTTGTTGGTTACCCCAGCAACGAGTACATGTGTGAGTGTCGGGTTGAATGTCGGGTGCTTGAAGCTTTCCCGGCGACACTCAAGCATAAAGCGTCAACACCATTTGCAATAAAATTTCGTAGTGGGCGGACGTAAACATGTCTTCATCGGATGACGATTTTTTGCTACTTGCCACTGCAGTAGTTTTATTAGAAAAAAAGAAAAAAAAGAAAGACTAAAAAGAAAAAGTTGTGGATGAAAAGTTTATATACACAACGTGACGCATAAGTTTCAATAAACCGCAACGTAAAATCTTTATCTTCCGCGAACTTGCTCATTTTACATATCACAACAAACTAACACACTAATGCTTGTCAACGCTTTGCGCCACTATCAAACAAACCGCTTGTCAAGCGGTCGCGTTGATGGAAAATCAACAACAAGTACGTGTGACACGACGATCTCCGATTGCCTCGGTTGCTGGGGTAACCAACAACGGATGCTTGAAATCGCCGACGAGCTTAAGATTTAATGCAAGCGAAAAGATGGCTGTGCAAATGAACGATTTTTGTACTATTGTGGAAAAGCTCAAATCAATTAGCGTTGAGATGCGTGATGACTTGATATGCTTCTTATTGTTGTGCAGCCTACCCGATGAAATGGATAGTTTCGTTGTTGCGATTGAGAGTAGAGACAGCTTGCCGACCTTTGAACAATTGAAGGTCAAAGTATTGGAAGAAGAAATACGGCGAAATGAAAAATTTGGGATAATAACGAGAGTGTATTTTTGGTGAATTCCAGCAGGTGGAAAAAAGTGCGAGGGAAAGAGCGGTAGTGGATCGCAATAAACCAACGGACCAGCAGAAAACTAGACCGTATGACTGGAGCACAGTTAAATGCTACTCCTGCTGTAAAAGAGGGCATATAAAGTCGCAGTGCAAAGTAGCAAAGAAAGAAGAGGTAATGAGTATGAGCTCCCATGAGAATGTACGAGCTAGCAACATATGGGTATTGGACAGCGGTGCATCCTCTCATATGTGTAATGATGCTAAACAATTCTAAACAATTAACAAACGCGAACAAACGGTGACACTTGCATCAGGTGATTTCGTTGCTGCTAAGGGTGTTGGCAATGTTAGTGTAAAAACTGGAACTCGCGATATTACATTGACTGACGTACTTTATGTTCCAAGCTAACATGAAAATTTTCTTTCAGTAAGCAAAATACTTCGACACGGCTACTCAGTACAGTGTAATAAAAAGTTAGCCGAAGTCAAATCGAAAAACAAAGCAACAATAGTTTCAGCAAAAGCAGAGAATGGTATTTTTTACACCAGCTTTGATGAACGTGAGTGCGTGAACGCTGAGGTAAATGAGAAATCCTTTAGCATTGACATTTGGCATAAAAGATTTGGACACCTGAATATAAAAGACATTTGCGAGTTATCGAGAAAGAACATTAGGTGTATTCGCGTATTCTTCCAGCAGAAAACTCTCAGAAGCAAAATTCGAATGAATTTGTATCTGTTCTCTCTCAAAGAGGTAAATTTTAACAAACGTACGCGAACGCAAAACCAGCAAAAACTTGCAAGTTTTTAGTACAGCTAACCGAAATTTTCTTTACATACAAAAGCATAAAACAGAAAACATGTAAAGAATAAAAATTAAAAGTTTTCCTAAAGCAATTTGCTAATCAAATATGAGTAAATGAGTATTTGCTTTCTTTCGATTCATTTGCAGTTCGAATAAGTTATTTTAAACTTAAAAATCATAATGATAAATCTAAATCTAAAATAAATTTCCATACTTTCATGAATTGAAAACAAACGGCTTTTTTGATCAACTGTTTTGCGTGCTGGGAAATGGCTGCTGGCAAACATTATTCCAGCAGAAACTAGCAACTTTTCATCAGAATGAAATGTCAATTTGGTCTCTCAATTTCCCCTACGCGAACAGGAAAATCTGATAGTGTTTCATAGTTAGTTAGAAATTGTCAAACATCTGTACGTGTGATGTTCTTGAGTTGGTGCATAAGGATATTTGCGCGCCGATGAAAACAGTATCCCAAGGCGGATCACGATATGTTATACATTCATAGACGATTACTTGAGATTTGTTGTTACGCGATTTTTGCGGCAAAAATCAGATGCGTTCGAGGCGTTCAAAGACTTTATGGTTGAGGCTGAAAAGCAGACCGTGCGAAGTGACAATGGCGAATATATCAATGCTCGATTTGAAAGTTTTTTTAAGCAACATGGTATACGGCATCAAACCACGGTTAGTTATACCCCACAACAAAATGGTGCAGCTGAACGAGCTAATCGCACGCTCGTCGAAATGTCACATTGCATGCTAAAGACATTCAAACTTCCTCAAAGTTTGTTGTCGGAAGCTCTCAATACCGTTACATTTTTAAGAAATCAGTCGCCTACAAAGTTAATAAAAGGCATCACACCATACGAACGTTGGACTGGTATGAAACCATCTGTTTCTCACTTAAAAGTGTTTGGTTGCGAGGCAGTGGCATTATGTAATCGGTTGGGTAGGTCCAAGTTCCAACAAAAAGGTACGAAGTTAACATTTGTGGGGTACGTTGATTTAGCCAAAGGTTATAGGTTATATAATAAATCGAACAATCAATCGTTGTTGCGCGCAACGTTAAATTTTTTGAAGATAAATGGAGTGTTGGCGATGTATCATAGGACGATAAAGACTATTTAAATTTTTTGATTTTCGAGATGGCATAGAACCTCCTGCAAACCCCGACAGCGGTGACGAAAACGAGCAGTCATTGCATGAGTCACATCCCGACGAGGTTTCGAGGGGTAAAGAAGACAACGTAAGTGGAGAAGCTAGGTTTGTTTCGAGCGAGAGTAGCTGTGAAGACGAAGTTATGGTTCCGGGGAAACGCAAAAGGGGAAGGCGAGGATTGTTAGAAGTGCGGTGGTGCCCTGAATTCGAAAAACAGCGAACAATATTTCCGTTTGTAGAGAGTCCACTACCAAATACCACAAGAGAGGTGAGGGAACCCCCTAAGGGCATCCTCTCCGATTCTCTGTCATGGTACCAAGGCTAGCTTCATCCCCCACGGTCAAAAATCTTCTATAAAAGAAGAAGTCGACTTTATGATGGTTTCGTCCTTATGATGGTTTCGTCCACTCCGTGTCTTCTGGCCGCAGAGCACATAGATTCAAAGGTAGAATTGTCAAACGCCTCCTCAATATCAGCAGCAACTCCCATTGTGTACTCTTCACTTGGATTGTCTCCGAACAAGACTGTAGGGGTTCTATTGTTACCACAACCGATCTTAGTAATTATGCTCCTCAGATGTAAAACCTGCTTTGTTGCAGACGGCTTCTTTGCTACTCCAAGCCTCACAATCTTTTTTCTCAGATTTCCATAAAATAGCACCTCCAGCCAACCATGTAACCGGTGTGAAATCTTCGATAGCTCCTGTTGCCACCCCAATCTGAATCNACGTAAAAAATATGATGGTACGGGGTCTGCAAAGTTCAAACAGCGAAGGAAAAACTTAAGAAAAAATGTTTGAACATGTTCAACCTTGTTTATAGTATTCTGATTATAAGCTCTCCAAATCAAAACCGCATATTCGAGATGTGACCGAACAAATGAAGAATAAAGTAACTTGAAGGTATACGGATCTGAAAATTTTTAGTCTTACAAAGCCTAGAACAGAATATCAATATCATCTTGAAGCCTAATTGCTTCAGGTGTATTTTTAATTACAGGTCAAACTTTTAAAACTTCCGCATAGAGCAAACATTTTGCAAAAGAAATACAACTACTAATATCATTAATGAAAAGTATAAAGAGAAGTGCACCTAAGACACTTCCCTGTGGCACCCCAGAAGATGGAACGAACGGGCTGGAAATCACCCCATCAATTGAGACAACACAACGTCTGTTACACAAGTACGACTCCAACCATTACAGAAAA